CAGCGAGAATAGCAGCAGCCTAGAGTGCGCGTCAGTTACAACGGTTCCAACCAGTTTTCTTCCGTGCCCAAGACCTTGATCTGGCGGGTCTGCACGGAAGAAGAAGAAGCTTTCACAAACTCACCTCCATGACGAACTGGATAGGACCAACGAAGTAGCTCAGGAACTTGAGCACCAGGTTCTCCTTCTCCTCCTTCATCTGGTTGAGACCGTACTTCTTGCGACGCGCGATAACCTCCTGGTCGGTCAGACCCTGGCGCGTGTCGGTGTTGAGCAGTTCCTCGGGGACGGGACGGGCTCCGCCGGGCTCGGTGGTCTCCTCGTCCTCGATGTCGATATGGCCGTCCTGGGACTCGAGCTCCTCGATGAGGGCGTCCATGTCCTCGTCCTCCTCCTCCTCTTCGGGGACGGGGGCCTTCTTCTCGCTCTCGAGGGGGTGGGTGGGCTTCTCAGAGAAGCCGCCGCTGGGGACGCTGGTGCCCAGGTGGTTGGGGGGCACGGCCTGGCCCTGGGAGCCAGCCGCGGTCGGATCGGACATGATGGCGGTGGTGGATTGCGCAGAGGGAGGTCTAGAGGGGGTTTGGAGCGGCCAATTCGAATCACAGAATGGTCGAGCGGCTTTCTATCCAATTGCTGGAGAGAAAGGCCGGGCGCGACGGGGGCTTCTTCTGGAGGCCGCGCTGGCGTGGTCCTCGTGAACCAGCGGCGGACGAAGAAGGCGGAGGAGAGGAGAGGGGAGAGGGAGGGCGAAGCGAAGCAGAGTCACAGCACACGGCAGACCACAGCAAGGAAGAGAAGAGAGAGGATGGGATCAAGAGAAGAAGAAGAAGAGGAGAAGAGGTTGGGAGTTGGGAGGTGGGAGATATAAGAAGGAAACAAGGGCGCCGCCGGTTCTGCAAATTACGCCGTACGGTCACAGCTGCCCGCCGAGCCCCAGCCGCCGTATGGCCCGTACCGCCCGCCGTATGCGCTCTTTTCCGTGCTGCCCGGCCAGCCTGCAAAAATACGGATTCGGTGGGGTGCGCGGCACAAGCTGCGCGCTGCTGATTGGCCTGCCGCGGCCGTGTTTGCAAAAACACCCGGCGTGACGTTGCAGACGCTGCGTACGGGCGGTACTGGGGCGTGGCAGCAAGCGGATGACGGGCGGCTGATGTCAGGCTGTATTCCGTGTATTGTGTGTATTCATCCTACTCTGCTGTCTACATCTACTATCTACATACATCTCCTCTCGTGATAATTCATGTCATGTCATGCTGTAGTTGATATCAATGCAACAAGAAAGAACGCAACACGGTCGCAACAGCTCCCAGGCAGTGGGGGGCCGGTTTCAGCACTCCCAGGGACCAGTGGGCCTCGCCGTATGCGTACCGTCACAGCGCCCAGTCGCCCGCCAAGTGCGCCGTCACGCGCGGTACGTGACAGTACGGCTCATCTGCGGATAATTATCATCGGCACTCGCAGCTCCCCTCTGCCCGCCGGTGAGCGACAGGACATCGCGGGTTGTGTGGTAAATTGGATGTGGGTTCGTCGGATGGAACGGGATGCAAATGTTATTTATCCTGGCCCTTCGCCCTCTGAGTCTGCCATGCCATCCCAGGCGCCTTGTCTCGTCGCTCTCCCGGGCTGCCGACCGCAGAGTTTTCATCCTGCTCCCGATGTAACTAACCGCTGCAGCAAGTCATATCGCTTGTATTATTATTATTATTCCTTTCCATCCCACGCCATGCACGATGACGAGAGCCATCTCGGCGACTATTCCCGCCTGGCGATCAGCCGCTAAATAACTCGTTGCTCAACTTCCTCTTGAGTGTCGCCTTTCTCAAACCCTCCTTTCCCTTCCGTACCGCGATATCAAGCCAGACATACGTAACTCTTCCCTCCCTTCTTTTTTTTTTCCATCCACCCAGCCCTAAGAACCAAGAAACCCAAACCCAACTTGCAAATGCAAAATATCCAAACCCATCTCGGCACCAGTCTTCCCTTTTTCACTCCCTTTCTCTAGTAAAAAATAATAAATCCTGTCCATCTCGATGATACTTCGGTCGGGACGGGAAAGACGGGATCTAGAAAAAGCTTTTTTTTCTTTTTTCTTTTTTCTTTCCATCTCCTTTTTTTCGAGAGAGGGTATCAGGCTTCCCTTACTAATTAGTTAACTATCCATGCCTTGTTCCCACCCAGGCACCATGCAGTTCGGAGACTTGACTTTTTCTTACTTCCTTTTTTTCTCCGGAAAGGCAGGGAAGGCAAGGAAAATTCCCTCATATATTCATAGACATACGTATGGAGAGTGAACCAATAACTAACTTTCAAAAATGTCATCGATCGCTTTAACCAAATCAGTTACATATGTCTACGGTATACCGCGTAAAGAATCTTGGAAGCAAGATTCGCTCCGCTCCCGTAGTTAACAGATCCCATCCGTTGAGCTTCCGTACATCGCACCCTATGGATATGGATACTCCGTAGCGATCGATAGATGGCTGAGTGGCGCGGACCAAAGTGGCGTGGCGAGACAACTACTATACATACCGCAGCAGTAGATTTTGGCCTTCCATTCCATTCCTTTCCACACTCGAGTCAACGTTTAAACTACTTACCTACTCTTATTCCCATCTCCGTCGCTGCCGTGCCGTGCCGTGCCGGTCCATTTCCGTATGAAGAGCAGACCATAGACGGTAGATGGTTTCATAAAAGCTAGCATGCATTACGGAGTAACTAGATAACTAGATAAACTATGATATCGACTCCCTTCCCTTACTTCCTTCCTTTCCCTTCTGGAAGGAAGCAGGAAGTTTACCTATTATCATAGCTAACTCACTCCCTCGCCTCCCGCAGGCAACTATCTCCTCAGTTAAAACCAAACCCAAACCCAAACCCAAAACTCAAACACAGAACAAAGAAATATCCCACCCACCCAGCTGGCCCAACTAGAACCGAAACCATTACTAACCCCATTACTCACCCTATGCATATCATATCTACCTACGTATCTATCTCCTACAGTTATCTATTAACTCCCCGAACTCCGTACCCTGCCCATTAACGGTATTATGTATATAATCAACATACGTAACTCTCTCCTGATTGACGAACTAGCTTGATTAACTAGCCGGCCGCTGCTCCCCGCCTCATTGTCAAGTTAATTATTAACGACTGGTCATGAATGTAGGCCAAGAAGGCCAAGGGCGATCAGCCGATCGAGGCTATTTATCGATCTAGTTAATGAACCTCAATCTCACGGTCCTCACCCCAGCGCTGCATACCAGAGGATATATGTAGTTTATACGCATAACCTGCTTCTCCCTGCAGTAGTTGAGTACGTACAGTATGTAAAGAGTTCTCAATAACAAATGAAGAAATAGAACATATCCATCCCTTCGATTTAAGTTCTCTCTCTGCTTATGTTGAAGATGATGCATGTATAGCTCTCATGTCCTCTGGCTATAACCACAGAAGTGGATTCCTTTGCTGTATCCTAACCACCTACATACCTACCTATCTAATCTCACTCACTATAACAATGCATCGTGGCTGATCTACCTACTAAAATAACATATGTATGTGTACTCTGTACTTGCCAGGGATCGATCCATATCAGGCTGGATCCTCTATGTATAGAACCGGAACGAAAGAGGGGAATAGCTAAAAAAAAATAACCAGGTATATTAAGTAACATTAAGTAGCCCATTCTCTAAATGGGAACAGACAGTCATACTCTAGATACTATTACTTGCTCCTTTTCTCAGGGCTGGTTATCCATCCCCTTCTCCCCCATCTCTACTGGAATATCTATAATAATATCCCCACCATCCCCCCCACACCTATTGCAACAGAATAACCCTCTATTCCCCTGCATTAGCAGGGGCATATCCGTATAATAAAACAAACAAATAAAAGCCAACACTCTCACTCTACACCACAGCAAACTATTACACCATTACAATACATTCCTATCCACCGATCCTATCTTATTTACTCCGTATCCGTACCTCGCACCCCTTGGCATGCTCTTGGCATGTTATGTTGTGTCCAGGAGGCCTAGGCTGTTTCCCTTTGTTCTGCTCGTTGCAGGAATGAGGAATCAGGGCTTGGCAGTGTAGGTGGGTAGATATACTGCATAGGAGTTAGTAAAATTGATTGATTGATGAGGGTTCTGAGGAATTCCAGGCATTCTTAGGAGGAAGGAAGTAACTAATTATACCGCGAAGAATGGGAGAGGATGCAGGACAGATTTTTTAATAAAATAATTACTAATAATGAGATGAGATGAGATGAGATGCAAATTGTTCGCTTCCCTTCCTATCACTAGTCACCAGTAGAATAAAGAGATAGAATCTATGCTTTTATTAAACCCCATCTACATTATTTACCGCGGCTCCCTCCCCGCCAGCGCCAGGAGTCCGCCAAGAACGCAGTACACAGCACAGCGAAACAAAGGGCTTTCTTTTATCAAAGTCTAGCATTGTTATATAACTACATAATAACTTACATCCATCATCCCATCCTCCTCTGCTAAATCCCATTCGCCCAACTCCCAGCAATGGTTGTATGTACTACATGCATAGCTGCGAACAAAGAGATGGGAGTTCCGGGGTAACTAACTAAGTTAGTAATAAGAAATTCCGATGCTGTGTTGTAATAACTATGTTATGCAGAATAGGGTAGTTATAGCCATAGAGAGTAGTCGATGTGATCGTACTGCTCTTTCAATGCATGCCATAGCAAGTATATAGGCTTCTGGGCAATAAGGGCCTTGATAAGGAGTGACAAGCGTCCACAATGAACTAACTTATCCTGATGATGCTGGGGAAAGGGCTCTGCATAGGCAGCGTTTAGGCTCCGGCTACATGATTACAGCGGGACGAATTATCGGTGGTGATAATACTAGGAAACTGATTCTCTCGATGTGTCACGGCAGGGGGAGAAGCAGGGGATTAATACCAGGGTTGCGTGTTATGTTATGTGTTATCACCAATAGGGCGCAAAATACGCCACAGTGCGGCACAGTGGTAGAGTGGTTAATACGTGAGACTCGAATTGAGGCTGCCGTTCATTCCGTGGCCGGTTCCCGACATCTCATGCCTTCGGGCGCGTAGGTTCGAATCCTGCCTGTGTCGATTTTTTTTCTTGTTTTTTTAGTATGCCTTTCCTACAAGCCATCCAACTTTCTACTTCCAACGGACCTCGATTGTTGGGGGGCCGACCAGGAGAACATCGTTGTGCTGGCCAGGTCCTTGCTGAGGGGCAAGCATGGCATACGTAGCTAATTGTATTAAAGAGTTGATGTGCACATGGGGTTTTACTCCCTCTTAACGTCCACTGGCGACGTCTATCGTGATGTTTGGTTGATTGATGCAGCCGAGCCCCTGAGACCGGCGGCGGTATTCTCCTTCGTCATGGTGGCCTCGGCATCATCCGGCGTAAAAGCAGCGATGCCAACAATCACAGACCATACCCCGTACACGTCGAGTTTTCGATGTACAGTCGATCAGGGTCAGCCAGCGAGATCGAAAAGATGGGCGAACATTGGATATTGGCTTGGCGGGATTCTTGGCGCAGATGGACTATCGGGGCTGGGGCTTGGCGCGGGGGTCTTGGCGTTTATTTGATTTTGTTTTGCCGCGGGATTTTCAGATTGATCGTGCTTTCGGTATCTATCCCAGGGGCACTGTCTGGGCGAGGAAATTGGGATTCATTGCCTGGCTAGGTATCAATTCCTCTTCGCTGGAGAGTGTATTTTGCTGAGTTACAGGCACAGCCCTCTTTGAAGAACAGACAACAAACATACTACCTACGTATGCGGCATACGTACTCTCTGTTCCGTGCCGAGACAGCGCCAGCGGAGGCTGGAAGACGAAAGACCCCTGGCACGACTGCTTCGGGCCCATTCAGTTGAAGCTGTTAGTAATGCACGTATGTCAAAGGGCTGAGTATCAGGTAGTTAGTTACCGGTACACAACGTCTCTGCATTCTATTCTTGTCGAATGCTGTGCGTGGGGAACACGGCAGCAACCCAACCAGTCGGTAATTTACCGCTGGTATGATGATAATGGAGGTATCGAAATCTCAATTTGCAAAAAAGATCACATAAAAAAGCAAAGACGATACACGCATACGTACATATGGATGGGGTAAGTCCCCCAGGTTTCCCTTTCTTCGTTCATTTGTGGTTCGTATTCGCTGCACGGCATTAGCAGAGGATAGGGAGTGGAAATTATATAGGGATTTACGCGGCCTGAGGGCGGAATATGCTTGGCATGCTCTGCGGAACTTCTTGTCAGAGCCTACGAGGGGACAGATTGCCAAGCTAAGACGGTGGATGGGGTCATGGGGATGTCTTTTTTGTGCCGTGGACAAATAAGCTTATCTATCGTTATCTTTTGGGCGGACAGGCTGCTTGTCTGTGCTTCAGGTTGATGGGTTTGTGTTTTATATTGGGATGAATGCGGCGAGTGTATGCCTTCTCGTACGACTGATTCCCCGCCGATTCGGGTTGGGATGAGGAGTATGGAGCAGATCTGTTTGGCCAGCACCGTACCACAACCACGTCAACAGGGGCGGAAAAACGGCGAGGGCAGGTCTCAAAGCCAGTCAACTGCCCTCGGACCTCGCAGCGGAGGAGAAAATAACCCCGCTACGGCATCCCGCCAAGATCTATATCCGACCTCTCTTGGTATCAATATCAATGAAGCAGCGCCCAGTCGGCATATTGTGCCGCATTAACGGCGGGAACACATTCACAACGCCTCCCATGCCATTCCCATCTCGGTAGTTAGTATTCGCGGGGAAGTAAGAGCTGATGGTCCATTATCTCCTCCATATTATGATATTTCCAACCAAATACCTAGACCTAGCAATAGAGATGAAAACTCCCTCTCCCCTTCCAGGAGGGCAGATAAGACCATACGACGAGGTGGTCTATCCATACAATGACATCTAACATCTCCAAGACCTCACCGCAAATCAAAAATTCATTTCCTCAATCGGGAGAAAAAATCATCCCTGACTCCCTAGCGACCGTAAATGGCGCGTCTTTCCACATCTCCCCAACCCCCTCCCCATCCCCCCTCAGATAAGAATCCCACCGTTCCAGTCCTGCTTCTCCCCCCCCCTTTCCCGTCCCTCGAAACTCCCCATTCCTTTCCCACGACAACACATTAGGCAACCACAACAGCGATTTACATACTGTGTACTGTTGCCACCCCTGCTCCTCCGTCCCCTCCTTCCAGCCAAGCTCGACCGCAAAGACGCGCAGGTTAGGTAATGACAGCTCAACCAACGGCTGGAGGAGGTATCGCTCGGTCGCGCGAGAGATTCTAAAGCCGGTGGGGACGGGGAATAACGGACATTCCAGCGATATCCGCAGCTCTGTCAGACCCGTCATGCGCGGCAGGATCTGTCTGCATGCTACTTCCCACGTCGTGGGCGGGCGGGGGTGATAGACTGAGAAATCCTCACGGAGATTCGTCCAGAGATGGACTTCGTGGTCAAAGGTGTAGAATTTAGCCCTCTCTCGAGGGTTGTTAGGGGTTTGAGGTATCTTCCGGAACGAAGGGAAGTAGTCTAAGTGCGTATAGGAATCTAGGTAGTCGATGGGTAGGCCCCCAAGGTCGAGCTTGCGTATTAACTTAAGATGATGGTCTGGGATGGATATTGAGAACCCCAGGAACGATATTGGGTGCATGTGGAACGTCAGGTTTTGATATAGCACCGTGATTGCTTCCGAGTATCTGCTTCTAATATTAGCGCCCGTCAAAATGTACCCAGAAAGATATACATACACCTTCCGAGAAACTTGCAACAAGTTTAAAGCATCTTTGGCTCCCCTCCTCGCGTTGGGGTTATGAAACGACACAGGAGCTGCAGGCAGCTCATACCCAACACAGTGCCTGCGATGGGTTGTAAAAGTGACAGAATGCGCCACGCACTCACAAAATCCAGCGACACGATAAGAAACACCGTCGACCACGTCTTTGGAGCAGGGAACGCTTGCCATTTTGCTGGCTGCAGTGACCACATGCATGCGCCCACTTGAGTGGACGTATCTATATATCAAAAGGCGCACTTCAGGCGGTAGTCTGGTAAAGAACGGAGACTCGGGCTGGCTCTTCTGGCGCGAGGGATTACGGTGCCATAAGCTGCGCTGCCGTTTGCTATTCCCGTTCTCGTTCTCCGGCTTCGTAGCTTTATCATCACTAGAAGCCTGGCGGTAACTTTCCTCCAGCCGGCCAGACGCCAGTGAAAGCCTTCGTCTCGGCCCTGTCCTTGCCAGTCCCCAGATGGCGGTCTTGCGCCGTCCCGCTGCGCGATCAGGGCCGGTCCGTTCCCCCCGCTTCACCATCCATACGCAGCAGTAGTATACTGGCCCGAAAAAGATCATCGCCAGGCAATAGACGAGTTGATCGCGGGCGTGTTTGAGCTTGTTGGTGTCCATAGCTGCCTTTGTGTTCTGTTATGATAGATAGACAGGAGGGAGTTTCATCGAAAGCCATGCAGCAATCAACATCAACAGTTGATGTTATCCCACCGTCAAATTGCTGTTAATAAATAAGCTGACGGGGCTGTGCGGGTTTTGGCCAAATGCCAGAGGATAGGCAGCAAGGCGGAAACATAAACATAATCCCGTATTCACTCGCAATCTCCCAACCCATGCTGATTTAGTTTCAAGGCGGAGACTTTGGCAGAGTTCTCTTGCCGTACAACCCAAAAAAACATCAGGGGAAAATAAAAAAACTAAAAAGAAACTCCCCGACAGGGAATCGAACCCTGGTCTCCCGCGCTTCTCAATGAATGACAAGCGGAAATCATCACCACTAGACCATCGAGGATGTTTTTGATGCGTGGGAGTGGCGTCGAATGGGTTATCTGCGTCTCGAACAGATTTTAGTTATCAAAGGGAAGGCGGCTCTCCTTGTCCTGTCACCACTTGTGAGTTTATATGCCAGCTCATTGGAAGGAGTTGGGCATTGCCGTCACCATGGTGTCTTCCTGTCAATTTCGGTGGATAATGTCTTGGTGGCCGTTGTCTTTCTGCTCTGTGTACGGAGTAGACTCTCCTCTGCGCTTGGAACACGCCCCTCGACGCTGTCCTCATCTGGCTATGGAAGAATGATAGTCAACGCCTAGATCATACGGAAGAAACATTCAATTCCATCCTATTTAGACAGTGAATCCCTTTCTCTGGTTTTTCGGGTTATCCGAACTAGCTTGCTGTTCACATAGTCCTTACTCTACACGGCGTTCAGGGGTATATGTAGGTAGCCACTGGCACTAACCCCTCCTCTCAGCATTCTTCAGCATACTCGCATGCCTTCTGTCAGATACAGGGCCCAGCTCATTCTATTTGTCCCTGGCTCGAGATCAGGTTGTGCCCAATCGCCACCCAATACCTAGTCCTACCAATATGGGCCTGAGCGTTTAATGCCGGGTGCGGAGGTATGTAGGAAATCCCCCTGCTGGTAGTTTATTCTTCCAACATAAACCATTCATTGTCCTGTATAATACAAGCTAATAACCACCTCACAAAATGTATACCCTAGTTCCTAATTGTATTGGTTAGTTAATATATCATATAATGTTCCCATTGCTAATAGAATAGCTAATGAAAAGTCATACATAGTTTCCCACATTATTTCAAAATTCAGGGGATGTGATAGATAACCAGAACAATATTTCCACATTTAGACAGCTAAGCCCTAATCCATAGCTTTCATTCAATCCCCTCCCTCCATCCATCCATCCATCCACCTGCCCAAAATAATAATAAAACAGCAAAAAAAAAAGAGGGAACACTATTCTCCCCCAAACCAAAAGCAATTCAAACGGGTATACCGTAGATATACATCCATCCTCCGTGGAGGAAACCCCCCCCCCCCCCCCCCCCACAGATAACAAGATACCCACAAAAAAAAAAAGCTGTTCGCGCATTCCCCCTCCCTTCCCCCCCCCCCCCCCCCCCCC